TTAAAATGCCAAAGGTTAAAGACAAAGAGAGAATCTTAAAAGCAGCAAGAGAAAAGCAGTTAGTTATCTACAAGGGACCACCCATACGACTGTCAGCTGATTTCTCAACAGAAATCCTGCAGGCCAGAAGGGACTGTCATAAAATATTCAAAGTGATGAAAAACATGGAACTGCAACCAAGATTGCTCTACCCAGCAAAGCTATCATTTAGAATTGAAGGTCAGGTCAAGAGCTTCACAGATAAGAAAAAGCTAAAGGAATTCATCACCACCAGACCAGCACTGCAGGAAATGTTGAAGGGTCTTCTTTAAGAAGAAGATAATGAACAAAAGACTCTGATGAACTAAATGGATCCAGAGACACTGACGCATGCAACAGATGATCATATTTCATAGGAAAGAGGGAAGGGGGGTGGAGGGTGGGAAGAGATTAACCAAAGAAGTTATATGCATAAATGCATAACACATGGACACAGTCAATAATGGGGTGAAGGCCTGGGGAGGGGGTGGGAGTGAAGTGGAGGGGGTCAATTGGGGAAAAATGGGACACCTGTAGTACTTTCAACAATAAAGATAAATTTAAAAAAACGCAAGGTTTTGTATGTTTGTCATCAAGAAAGTCAGCACCAGCAGCAATAATTTTGAACCAGAAGGTTCTCCAAACCTTGATTTCTCCTAATTCTTAAAGCTTAACTTTTTCCTTTCCCTCATTAACATTTCTGATACACAATATATGGAAAAGTAACTTCACAAAATAGAGACCCACCTCCACTTTCATTATTGTTGTCAAATGGTACAGACTGTGCAATCCTTTGCCCATCTACGAAAACTTTTGTCTTGAGTTAAACTAAGAATTCAGGAGTGTTAGCACCTTACCATGGTAACTTCTCTGCCTTTTTTAGAAGTGAGTTTTTAAGCTGAGAGAATAAAGTAATATAATTAAACATTAATTACACTTTTTATTTCATCATTGATGAAAGATTCAGCAAGTAAGAGAAGCAGAAATGTTTTTGTGAGATTATCCTTAGGAAAAATACATACAATTAACATCATTTCTGCTGGTGTTGATAATCCCGATGGCATGAAAATGCAGAACCTAAATTTTTACTGGACCACATATTGAGCAGGTCACAGTCGTGACTGCTTTCGCAGAGAGGCAATGCTGCGTAGTTTTCAGGATGTGTTTGGACTGTCGTCTGAGTAAATTTTAATCTGATGACATTGCATAAATATTTTATTATGGTTTTGGAAGTAGAAAAAGTAGTATGTGAAAAGGAAGTAATCTTAGAAAGATAAGGTGGCAAAAAGGGGCCAGGAAGTCATTTGTCTTGACTGATTCTCATTTTACTTTACTTCCCACTGAATAAAAACTAAGAACCAGTTATTTTACTTTAAGACTCAAATGGTCTGTTAGTCCGTATCATTCAGTGCAGTATAATGGATTGCAGAGGGTGTTGAAACCTTGAACATAATGATATATGAGATACAGTGTCAAATTGTTTTGATTTATCTAAGATTCTAGAAAAATTCATTTGAGAATAATGTCTCTTTTTGTTTGAACAGTTGTGTTTTTGTTTTGTTTTTTCATTTCATTAAACTCTATCTTGTTCAGAGGGAATTTAAAACAGCTATTTGGACTGATTCATTCTATCAAGACAAGGTGTCAAGTACATCATTCAATGAACTTTTATTGAATCTCTTATGTGTCTAGTTTGCTAGGTACTGTAGGAGATACAAACAGCCTCAGATAGTATGAGCTATTCAGGGCTCAAAAATCTTACTACATATACATGTAACACAAATAACCAGTGGTTATTTACAGATAACATATTGAATTTACTTGCATTTAATAATGAAGGTATGTTAATGAAATATAAAGGCAGGGAAGATTAATTATAAAGCATACCAGTTCTAAAATCCTGAGTAACCTAATTCAAAGGAACAGCCTGCTGTAAATTTCTGTATGTTCAGCTGTTCATTTCTTGCTGCTATAAGAGTTTCTGAAATCAGGTTTATACCCAAGCTTTCTTCCTGAGATTTATCAATTTTCTTGGGTTACTTGAAAGTTTCTCCTCTTTTGCCACAATTTAAGCACTATACTCAAGAATATAGGCTCTGTAGACACACACGTAGGCCCTAAACCTGGCTCTACCGCTCATTATTGTGTGGGTTTGGGCAGTTTCTAGACTTTCCTGACCCTGATTTCCCCCTAATTTAATAGGAATAAGTAATACCTCTTGATTTTGTTGTGAGAATTGATAAATAAATCACCAAAAACACACATATAAGTGGTCAACAAATGGTGGGTATTATACTTTTTAGTTACTGAGCTACAAATATCAAGATTTCTAAGAATGAAAACCAGTTTCAGAATTATAAGGATGCTTCTTGTGGCTTCTGGAATACAAAAGAATTTCTTAGGGATTCTTAACTGTCAAGATACAATGTCAAGGACAAACACAACAAAACAAACTTGCGATACTGTATCCAGTACTTTTGAAAGCAATTTTGGCAACAACAACTTTGGGCAGTGTGTGTTGGAGCCAGCTTGGGATGCCTCTGGAGATCAGACTGTACACATCTCATTCCTGCTCCCAGTTCAATGACCTTTCTCTAGTAGCTTGAGATCAGGCATGGTGGGAAGAAATTTGCAAGCACTTCAATCAGGGCCTCCCTTCCTCTGCCCATTGTTAAAACATTTGCCAGCACATCACTGATCAGGATAACCAATTCTGAGTAAATCTGCCTCTGCAATCAGCTTTTAGCTGTGGTTTTAGCAATGGTTACCTTGCTGGCTGCACATCAGAATCATCTGGAGAGCATAAAAGACAGACAAACCTCATTGATTTAGGCACCACTGCCCAGAGAATCAACTGATTTGGGAAAGGATCCAGGCATAGTTATTATTATCTTTTAAAATGTAGGTCAGTGGTTTTTAAGTTTTAGCGAGCTTAAGAATTCTCTGGAGGGTCTAGTTAAAACACAGATTTCTGGGTCCCCGCCCCAGAGCTTCTGATTCAATAGGTTGAGTGAGACCTGAGTGCATTTTATCAAACTTCCAGGTGAGGCCAATGCTGTCAGTAGCAAGGCTCTTGGTGATTCTTGCATGTATCCAGGACTGAGAATCTCTGCTCTAAAGAAACACTCATCCCAAAGTATAAGCTTTTCCAGTACATTCTATTTTTGCCTAACATTTTACTCGCTTTAAATGTTATTGTCTTTCCCTGGGTGTAGAGGGGTGTGTGAAGGGGTAAGGTGGGGTGATAAAGGGTTGTAACTCAGGTTGTTCAACTCCAGACCAGTAATGTCCAACCTGGCTGCACATTAAAATAACCTATGGTGAGATTCAGATTCAATTGCATGGGAAGGAATAAACATTTTTTTAAAGCTCCATATTTTATTCTAGAAAGTAGCCAGGATGAAGAATCGCTGATCTAGGCATCTTGGTATTCAAGTTGAAAACTTCAAAGTCTGAATTATCTAGGCCCTGGCAATCACAGTGTTTAAAAACGACAGTTTCCCTCTGTTGCACTTTTAAGATCTCTAAGAATTATACCTGTGTTCATATGAATAGCAAATTGAAGGAACGGCAGATTATTCAGAGAGTCAAAATATTTTAATGCAGAACCTAAAAGATTAAAACTAATGAGGTTAAAACCAGTAAGACAAAGTTGTAGCTACGTGGATTCAAGGGTGTGTGTGTGTGTGTGTGTGTGTGTGTGTGTGTATCTATACCAATACAAACCTAAGAGAAAATTTTAAAAAGGCAAAAAATATTTAAAAATTATACTAGTGCTGAGGACTGGAATTTTAGGGGGCGTCACTACATAATTAGTAGAAATAATTTTTACACTCACTGAAAGTCTCATGTGGCACATACTGTTGGCTGGCTACTTCATAAAAGAATTTGATTTTATTCATGGAGGCAACATGTGCAGCTAAAGACTACATTTCCCAGCCTCCTTTGTGGCTGGTATGACATGTGATTACGTTCTGGCCAATGAAATATAAGTGGAAGATTTGGGTAAGACCTAAGAAGTCTTCTTAAAAGGAGTCTGACATCAGGACTTTCATCCATTTGCCCTTCCTGCTGCTTGAAATGCAGACGTGATGACTAGACCACCATTCTGGGCCATGAGGGGACCTGGAGAAGTAGCTGGTGCTAAAGATGGCAGAGCACAAAGATAGGAGACTGGGTTCTTGATGACTAGGGAGCCACCCTAACAGCCCCAAGACTGCCCAACGGATTTCCTTTATGGGAGAGAAAAACAAGCCCTCACGTGTTTAACTGTTAGTTTGGGTTTTCTTCAACATGAAGCTAAACCTAATCCTATCTGACATACCTAATAGCCCTGAACAGTGGTGGGCCAAGCATGAACCCAAAAATCTTCAAAGAGAGATTGGTGGAGTGCATACGCAAAGAGGAAACAAGGAGGCGCTCAGGAAGTCGGAGGGTGACAGAGGCCAGACTAACTGTGACCCCAGCTCCCAGCCGCCTAGTTCGCCTTCTCTGCAGGGCCTGGCTGTGTTGTTTCCCACCCTGCACAGATCCCTACAATAGCCTCTTCCCCGCTTTTTACCCTAAATGGATTCTGATTTCCTGGGACCAGCAGAATCTTGAGGGGACAGAGACAATTCTGGATGTGACTCGCTAAGAGGTATGTTTTGTAAAATTTAATTGTATGCTCTGAATTTGCCTTATGTGGAAGTGAGAATATAAAACTAAACAATGTGAACTGCTTGCAACGAACATCCTGCGTTCAGCACTGCGAGACACACGATGGGAGTGCACATACTGAAGATTTGAATGCTGCTTATTTAAAAGCTTATGTAATTATAAACACGATTTTTATCATTTTGATGTGTGGGTCAAGCACAGCAGAACAGTAGTATCGTGTTCTGTGTTTGCTTTACTGTGGAGGAACATTTAAACATTGCAACATGTCTCTGATGGAGACTCTCTGATAGAGCAGGGTGGGGAACCTTTTATTCTGCCAAGGGCCATTTGGATATTTATAACATCATTCTTGAGCCATACAGAACTATCATCTTAAAAAGTAGCTATGAACAAAGCTCCTAGAGTTATTGAATTTTGAGTCCCACCTGCGGTTGCTTTGGCAGGGCCAGACCAAACAATTTCGCTGGCCATATACAGCCCTCGGGCCGGAGGGTCCCCACCCCTGCTCTAGCGGGTTAGGGCAACAACCACGTCAGTCTCCTAAGGTGAGTCTGAAAACCCGGCCTTCTTCTTTCACCCCATTATATTTATACACAACCTACTGTGGTCACCACAGCACATCTAGCTATAGCAAAGAACTGTCTAAAAAATACTAAACATCTTTTCCATAATGAATACAAATCTTAAGTTGAAGCAGAAATGGGAAATATAAGGATGAAATTACCGACTGTTGGGGCTACTAGAGGCAAGAAGGGGCTTTTGAAGGGGAGTATAGCAACACCTTCCCTGGAGCCCTCTGACATTAGACATACATCTTTGAGCTGGCTTAGGTGGAACACTTCTTGGAGGTAGAACATTAACAGTAAGGGTGATAGCGATAGTGCACTTAGATTGATGTAAGGATGATGGTTTTTCAAGCATTTAAAGTGTATTCTCTCATTCTGTGATTCCCCTTTCTGCTCCATCATTTTTAGGAAGGGAAGACTCGGAGAAGCTCACAGGCTCTCGGTTACCCACTGTAATTTTTACTCACAGTTTGGGTTTGGCCAGGACGGGAGGGGGCTCTTTGACAGGTGAGGAAGGCTCTGGGACTTTTGGCCCCTGTCCATTGAATCTGTCCAGGAAAGAATCAGGCCTGGTCTGGTTGCTGGTCGCCACGCCGCCCTCAGGGGACACTTTGCTTCCTTTGTCATCTTCAGGCAGGTTGAAGTGCACTCGGAGCCCGATCCTCGAGCTGGACCGGGGCTCGTTGTGGTTCACCAGAACCCCTTCGAGTTTGGGCTTAGGGGGGTGTTCCGCAGAAGGGGGCTGTGGGTTGGGTGGGGACGGCTGTTGCTCAGTAACAGCCAGATTGGTGGTGGAGTTGGCCGAGTGAAGAGCCCCGTTATTTCTGAGGTCTTCATTTCCTGAAATGACAGTCACAGGACCAGAGCTGTTAGCCTCACTCAGTGAGACTGAGGTAGGGTTGTAACCCCGGGTTGGGGCATGTGCCCAGCCAGGTGATTATGTTAACAGAGAAAATGCTTGTCAAAAACAGAGAACATAATCTGGGGCATTAAAGGACGGTGAGGATATAGGGGAAAAGCTAAACTAGAAATCTAAGTACTGTTTTGGAAAGAATATTAGAAGTTTATATAAAACCAAGGAGATTTTTTCTTAGAGTATAATAGGTAACGGTAGGACAACTGGGGTGGTGGTGGCTATAAATGCAATAAGAAATTGAAAATTGGATATTGTTTAAGAACACTTTCCTCAATAATTCAATTTTTCTAAAGAGAGTCAAGTTAGCCTCATGCAAAAAGCAGTAAGGAAGGAATTATAAATTCTCCATACTCACATTCAACATCATGATCTGAATTGTCCCGGCATTTGAAGAGCTCTTACCTCTTACATCTAGCTGTGCAATGCTTGACACTGTGCCGTACTTGTTGCTTGCAGTACACGTGAAGCACCCAGAGTCTTCTGCAAATACTTCAGCAATGACCAAAGTACAAATCTCCTCTAAATGCCAGCAAAACAGAATGGTTACTGACTTAATTAGGAAAATGGAGTTATGGAATTTACTGACATCAGATGGAGATTCTATAAAAGTCAATATAAGAAGTTGATTATATTAATTGTTTGAAAATAATTAGTCCAAACAATTATTTGATTGAATGGACTGATTAGCAGACTAAATGAGTAAAAGCATATAGAACAAATAGCTCCATGGACACTACTGACAAGAGACTATTATGATAATATAATATATTATGGATTCTCAAATTATCTTCTATTTTTATGTCATCAGTTCAGATGACAAAAATAGAACTGAAGAACAAAAAACTTTTTTAAAAATCCCAGAAACAAATTAGGAGTTAAAGTAAAAGGAGGTTTGTATGAAATAAAAGGATTAATAAAACATTTTTTCAAAATACCAGTCTCTCACTATATCTGTGGGGAACTTTGGCAGTGAGGTAATTTTAAAGAAAAGCCACAATTTAAAACTGAATGATAAATAGTTCGCTTAGCTAATAGTAATTAGCTGGTAGAATAACTTGAAATTCTAGGTGAAAGACAAGTGAAATGCATTTTTTCCCTTTGTAATACTATGATAATTCTTATGGATTACTCCCAATACACAGCACGAACCCTCTTTCAAATAACTATGGAATTCTTATAGTTAGATATTCTTTGACAGCTAATGAAGAGATAACTAAGACAGTAGCCTAAACCTCCAGTTATCACCCAGTAGACCTGACATTAAAAACAAAATTAATAAAAGCATAGTTGTATTTGGAGAAACTTGGCATTGCAGCGCTTCATGATAACCAAATTGAATTAACTGGACAACCTCTGGGAAAACTGGACAGGAAGCCAGGGCAGACCGTGTTGAGCACCTGCTGGGTATCTCTGCATCTCCCTCCTCCTTAGTAACAGAACCCTGACTTTGTCTACCCGCCTCAGAGGGGTCATGTGCTTCAAGGCAAGCTGGCCCCGCCAGCCTCAGGTGGTGAATTGTGATGGTCATGCTACGCCAGTCCTGTTAACTCTATTCTTGCTAAGTGATGGCATGTGACACAAGCAATTCCTGTCAATGAGATATTAGGGAAAGTCTCCTGGAGAGTTTGTGGGAAAGTTTTTCTTGTTCATCGCATGAGACAAAAGAGTGTTATTCCCTACTTTTGCTTCTGAATATTGTCATCTGCATGTAATATCCGTAAGTGTGGCAACTGTCCTGGGTATATGAGTAGAATCAGCCAAAGAGGATACTCTGAAGATGGCAGAAGGGAAAATGGAAAAAAGGCTTTGCCCCTGATGATCTCTGAGATGCTAAATTAACCCATCTCAAGACTGCCGTTTCTTAGGGCATATTGCTGTGTGAGGAAATATGCTTTTCTTATTGCTTAAGCCACTTTTAGCTAGGTCTTCTTTACTTGCTGCCCAAAGAATCCTAAATGATAGAGAGGCAAAGTTTGGTTTTGGTCCCACTCTGTTCTTTCTCTGAGTCCCTAGCCTATGCTTCCTTCTCTCTGTTCCTCTTCCCAAACATTCCTGTTTTTCTTTTTCAGTAACCTGCTCTTGGGAAACGATCTGATAAATTCATTCATGCTACAGTGTACCTGCCTGATCAGATGGAAAGCATAGTCTCCAAAGGATACTTGCAGTATACAAGGTAGAAGGAAGAACTCTCTGGCTGTGAGATTTTAGATCGCAGAGCTGGGAAAGGCAGGATTTGTCGTGGGCAGGGATCCCTTTTGAGTGACTCTGAAATTATTTTGTATATGGGATTGCCGAGTGAAAACGCCTGCTTTGGATGACTGTGTCAAAAGCCTAAAATATTTTCAAGGGGAAAACCACTTCTCCACTACAAACAGTGAGAGAGTAAGATCCCTCTGGTCTTCACTATGTATCCCCAACAGCCTAGTGCAGGGCTGTGCAACGTGCATGTTCAACGTCTACTGCTGGAATGCCTTCCCATTCAGTTTTCTGTAGAGAGTTATTAACCCAAACCATCCTTCTTATCCAGGGGTAAAAATACTATGTGCTATTTCAGGGTGATTGCAAGGAGGACATTCAGATGTTTATGCTTAGATTGTGAGTGACTTGTGTTCTTTAAAGGTAAGAGTTTCACCTACTTGTCACTTCCATGTCATCTTAGTGTCCTTCCAACCAAATCTAATACCATCCCGGACATTTTATTGATTCTGCAAATTTCAAAATCTGATGCATAAGTTTTCAGAAGCACAGGCTGTGAAATTGGAATTGATCTAGCATAATGGAAATTGCTCTGCCCAATTTGGGGAGGTTATGAGTAGGGGCCAAGGAAAGAGGGAAGATATTCCTAAGAAACATTTCTCAATACCAAGAACTAACTGCATTCATATTAGGTATTGAATACATATTCCAAATTTGCACATGTTCTCCTCTTTCATTCCTCTACAGTAATAGCTAGAGTTGGTTTGGATCTTTTCCCTAAAACTTTATTTTTCACTTTTTCCTGACCCCGGTGTAATTTCAATATGTTTTGTTATATACAGGGTGTCCACAAAAAGGTATACACACACTCTGAATAATTATAAAGGCAGCATTTATTAAAATACATTCCATTTTCATTTAACAGCTATCAGCTGTTAAAGTGTGTATACATTTTTGGGGGACACCCTGTATATCAAATCACTGATCACACACTAATAAATTAAAGTTAAAATGATCTTTACCTGGCTCTGCCATGGATCGAGGTTCTAAAAGAAAAAAAAATTAAAAGATTCTTAGCATTTATTTTAGTGAGCGAGAGGCTATATTTTCATAAGAAGCTCCCTATAGAATTTCAGTCACTTGCATACTCATGAGTGATTTGTTAAGGTTAAGCTGTAAATATTAAGTAAAATGAGCTAAGCACCAATGACCTCCACAGGGACAAGATGGTTGTCACCCAGGGTAGCAAGAGAGCTGTTAACTAAATGATGTTGCGGCACCTTGAGAAGCACCTGGGTTCCACTTGGGACACATAAACCTTAGGTGAGGAAAAATTACTGAGCTAGCTAGGATTCAGAGACCATTGGCTGTTATTGGTACCCATTCAGCCTTACGTGAGAGATTATTCTTGGCTTTGGGCCTAATAAAATGTAGACGGTACCTCCAAGGTTTCTAATATTAAGAGCTTCAGGATAGATGACAGGTTCCTTGAGAGCCTGCCCTTTATCTTAAGATTCTTTGGCGTTCCTGAGAGGGCCCGCTTGGTACTGCATACAGGTGCTCAATTAATGTTTACCAATTGCAGGCACTCAGGAAATAGTTGTTGAACTTAGTTACAGTCTTCTACACTGATAGAATATTGATGTTTTCCTCTCAGTTTCAATGGTATTCAGAATATATTATTGCTGCTGCTACTGCTGTTAAATTTCATAATAGTTTGATTCATATATTATACTGATCCAAGTACTACTATTTTGTGATAGACAGAAACAAATGAACAAAAAAAGCAAATTTCAATGTATTTTATGCTGAAATTGGTCAAGGTGAAAGCACTTATGCAACAAGAAAGGAAGAATTAACCACTTGTACATATAAACAATTCTTACAATTAAAAAAAAAAATCTAATATAAAAAATGAGCAAAGGATATAAACAGGTAATTTAAAAATAAAGAAATACAAAGACCAAATAAATATGAAAAACAGTTCCATCCCACATCTAATTAGTGAAGTGTGGATGAAAAGAGGTGTTTTCATTTGGGGCCTATAAAATTAGTGAAGATAAAAAATGTTTAATCGCCATGATCAGTGAAGGTATGAGATAAAAGGCATTCCCTTATATTGCTGGTTGTAGTAAAATATAGCTAGGACAACATGTGTCCCAGTTCAGCTGGGATAAACCTGGCTTATTCCTGGGATCTCTGTGTAATTATTAATACTACTCTCTTTCACTCCCCAAAGTGTCCCAGATTGGATGATAAACTATGTGGTCATCCTAAATTTAGTTCAACCTTTTGGGATGGCATTTTGGCAATATACAGGGGTGGACAAAAGTAGGTTTACAGCTGTTCGTATGGAAAAAGACAATAGTTTTATTAATTCTGTGTTTCATGTACTCACAACTGTAAATCTACTTTATCCACACCTATATATTAAAAGTCTAAAATATGTGAATTTACAGTAGTAATTCTAGTATGTGAATTTATTTTATATCCACAAAGATTTTCCCTGTTAACATGAACTGAAGCATAGTTTATAATGGTAAAAATTTGTGAACAAACTAAAAGTTCAACAACAGGAAATTAAATAAATATGAAATTGATTATATTTATTTATTTATTTTTTTAAGTAAGAAAGGCTTATATTTATTATCATGGAAAGATGTTCATGAAATGTTGAGTAAAAAAATTAATTTACCAAAAAAAGGATGATTTACAGTTGACATACAATATTATATTAGTTTCAGGTGCTCAACCCAGTGATTAGACATTTATATAACTTATGAAGTGCTCACTCCAATAAATCTAGTACTTATCTGACACCATAAAAAAGTTTACAATTTATTTTTATTAAAAAATATTCATGGAAAAGTTTTTGGAGACTATACACCAAAATATTAATAAGGTTTAGTTTGGGGTATTATGATTACAAGTGATTTTTATTTTATTCTTTTTTAATATATTTTAATTGGCTGTTAAAAATTATAAAAATCAATGTATACATTTATAAAAATTAATTATAAAAAAATAATTTTAAAGCATCAACTTACTTTTCTGTAAAATTCTAAAATCTGGAGAATCTTCTATCAAGGTCCCTTCTCTATACCACTCAACTTTAGGAGATGGAGCTCCTTTTACTCTGCATTCAAAGACAACCAGCTGACCCTCAGAGGCTGATAAATTTTGTAACATCTATAATGAGAAGAACATTATTAGAACCCAAGAATGTACATTTTAAAAATCTAGTTCCAGTGCTGAATTTTAGAAAAAGGTACCATTGCCTCTGTATCTGGATTTTCTCCAAATCTTCTCTATCTCCAGCAGCTTCAATTCTGTGGATGTGCAGTAAGTCTATTTTTGAAGATTAGGGCTCAGAAGCATCTGGACCCTTATGAAGCTTTTCCTCACTTTCTCCTTCCTTTTCCTCTTTGTTGCAGTGCCAGACAAATTTATTAAATACTAGGCAAAACACTTAGAGGTGTTCCCAAAATGCTAATTTTTTGGTAAAGTACTTCTGTTCTTAAATGCCCAAGTGGGATTTAGTTTCCAGAAATAATAGCAATTTTAAAAATCTGCAGTGAGTATCTACTAGGTGCACTCAGCATAGGAGTAATGTATTTTTTCCACATGGGAATATTACTGTCTGTGAGGTCTAAAATATCTGTAGTCCAACTAACTGGCTCTGTTTTCCTGGCTTTGCCTTATTTACATTCTGTAGTCCTGGAAATTAACTTTTGTTTTCCTTACGTGTTCTTTACAGTATAGCTTCAACATCTGTTCAGGGACACAAACAATGACAATCTCTGTGAAGTCATAGTCACATGTGGAGTCTTAGGTCATGGTAAAGTATCTTATAATTTTGTAAAGGTGTCTAAATTAAACGTTTTCCCACACTTCCATGAAAAAAGGTTTACAAAAACCACTTTAAGCTATAACATACCAATATATTCCACAATAGACTCCACGGCAGAATGGAACTCACATTTTCCCTTCACAACTAGTCTTTCACTCATGATTGGTGAACTTAAAGTCACACATTCATTTATGTAGTAGGTGCTGCATTTGATTAGGAAATGTTTCTTTGGCATGTGTATGAGCATATTTTTGTTTTCGATTTTGGCCCAAAGATTATAAATGTGAAAAGGTTATGATTAACATCCTCCACAAGCTCTTTTAGTAACAAATGCTGCAAGGCTTTCTATTATTACAATTATTGCTTCAGAGAAGGGGATAGCCAGTATTTTTATTTTTTGTTTTTGTCATTCACTCTTATAAATATTTTGTGATTGTTTACAGCTCTGGTCTGAATAATTTGTGATATTTTGTGCGTGGCTGTATCATATTTACGGCATTTGTCTAAGGACTTAGTATGGCTTCAGTTACACTAGGAGACTTTTACCTCAGAGGGGTGTGCAAGTTAATATTGGGACAGCCAGGGGGCGATGTAGCTCAAAGTTAGTATTTTGGGGGTTTTTTTGCGTTTCTAAATTTGTTCGCTGAAGTAATTCAGGATGGGATTTGCAGAGCGGTATCTGAATTAATAAGGAATGATTTGATTAGAACCTTTTTATTCCTTGTGTACCCCAAACAACATATTCTAGTGACAAGAATGGAAAGCTCCCCCTGGCCGGTGTGGCTCAGGCGGTTGGCGTGTTGTCCCGTACACCAAAAGGTGGCAGGTTCGGTTCCCGGTCAGGGTGCATACCCAGGTGACAGGTCCAATCTCCAGTGCGGGCATGTGTGGAAGGCAACCGATCGGCGTTTCTTTCTCTTTAAAATCAATTTTAAAAATCAATTAAAAAAATAAAGAATGGAATGCTCTAAGCAAACACGGGACATCAGTGAGTCTTGAGTGCTCCTGGCAAGCTGGTAAATGTGCCTTCCGCCCTGACATCTGAGCAAATTCTGTGTGAAAACAGAAGCTTTGGGGCCTATTGAGTACTTTCATGGCAGTTAGACATTTCCCTGGGATTCACATATAATGGAGTTTCATTTCTTCTTCAGGCAAACAAATTAGAAAAACACACAAACAACAACAACAATAAAAAGGTGGTGATGGCAGAGTGATGCATAAACAAAATGTGGCACATTTTAAAAATAGGTGTCAGCAGAATGAGGCCAATCTATATGTTTGCACATGACTCACAGTTCAGTTCAGATATATAAGCCAACTCTCAATCTGCAGAGGTTACACCAAAGCCCTGCTTGCAAGAGGATCTCCTTGAGAAAATATGTTGCTGACAATTGAGACCAACATTATTGCTATTATTCCCTTAACAGTGACAGCCAAGACCTCTGTTCTACATGGGAGTCCAGCCAAGATACCTGAGATACTCAGTGTATGGAATATGCCCACTAAATGTCTGTGATATAAGAGAGAAGCTCATTCCAGTGTGACACATCATCATTACTCAGTAAAGGAAGGGCCAAGGGTCATCTTACAAGCCACTTAGACAAAGTCATGGAAAGTCATAGTCTGAAGGACAATGAGAGTTGTTATTGCTGAAAACTGCTTTTCTGCAAAAGTCTCATGGGAAGGAACTGGCACACGATGCTGCAATCAGGGTCCAAAGCAGTTGCACCATTTATTTGAATATAGTGTAGGAGGTGCCACGTTCAGCACCTACCTCGGCTGTTACTGATGGCACAGTGTGTACACTGTGTACAAACTTGATCACAATCATCTAGATTTTGCTGAAGTTGATAAGGCAAATGAAACATTCCCCAACTAGCAAAGATTTAGTTAGTCTTAACTAGGAATTATGGATCTGGACTGAAGTCACTATAACCAAATATCTTTAACTTCTTGAGGTAAACAGTATCCAAAGTGCAAATCTGTCTTGTGTGTCATCACCATACTGATCATCTGGGAAGACATTCTTTGGAGGGTAACTTGACTCCCCAGAGCCTTGAGAAACATGTCTTCCATGGCAATCCAACACTGGATTTTTTTCTCTATTCCCCCTAAAGATGTCACAAAGCAATGAAAGCAACGATTCCTTCTTAGCTGAAATTGAAGTTATTCACCACAGAATAAATATTACTATGTGTCTGCTTTGTTTGTGCCAAACACTATGCCAAGTGCTGCACATGTGAGTTGAAAGGACAGTTCCGCTTAGTAGATCCTACCCGCAAATATAATTCAGGGACATCTTGAGCAAAGGCATCTTCCTTTCTTGGTTAAAAGATGTCAGCTACAAGGTTCATTTTCTTCCCTTTTTAACCCAGTTGATATTTTTGCACCTTGGAAGATGCGGCAAATGAATGTTTATAGTGCTTTAGGGGGGAATTGGATCAGAGCAGTTTTTGCTGATAAAGAGCTGTTTGATTGGAGACCCCTTTGCCCCTTGATTGTCACAGGTGCCCTCTGCGACAGCTGAGTCAGAAAAGCCTCTGGAATGGTCAGGTTGGGGAGAGGGGCCCATGTAATCTTCAGAAATCTGGATCCGGGCACTGGTCTGGTTATTTCAGGGTTTCCTGCCTCTGATATTATATAATGAAGCACTCTTCTTCAAATTCTCACTTCCCCTGCCCCCTTGCACTCTTCAAATTACTGCTGAAGCAGCTGGAGCCAGGGCTGCAGCGGCCTTGAAAGTCCGCCAGAGCAGCTGCTGTTGGAGCGGGAGCAGCGATAGGATCAGATTCTAATTTGATCACCTACCTCCCTTCACACTCAAGAAGTGTGAGCACTGCTTCCCCCCTCCCCCCATAAATAGAGTTAAAGTGTTTTTGAGACTGTATAGAGAATGAAGAGTAGTCTGTCTCCATAAAATATTTAAAAACATAGGTATGACCTGTGATCGGAGCCATGCACTAACATGTAGAACCCCAGGCTTCTCTCACACTTTACCACCGTTTTGTTGGGCAGCCGTCCCTTTCATTTTAACCTTCTTTAAAAAGAAGATAATACCGGTAATTCCCTATCACCAAAGAAAGCACGAAGAGTTAAATAAAATTCTGCTCTCTAACTGATGCTTTTTAAAAAAATTGGCTTCTTGCCATTACTGTATTGGCAAAGAAATGTGTTGTTGGGCAGTATAGAAAGTGAGTCATGGGGGTTGAAATGCCAGAAGTTCCTAATGAAGTAAATACAGCAGGAATGACCTGAATGAACATATGCAAATGATCAGTTATCTCGGCTCATGCCACGTGATTGCCACTGCCAGTGGCTCTGACTCAGAAGTTTTCTAACGACACAGGCAGTGACTATGACCTCAATCCTGCCTGTGCTGATGGAAACTAACGCAAGCACACTGTCGCTGATAAGTCCCTCTGGAATCTGAGTCACAGCCCATCCTAGTGCCCTACGTCTGAACGATCCTGGTCCATTTATGGAGGCAAAAGCATACATCTGAGGGCTGAGAAAGCCTCATCAGAGTTTGGGTCTTGGGATTAAGGATCCGTTTTCCCACCTTGAATCTAATGTTTTTAGAGATTTATCTAACAAACAACATATACTAATGATTATTCATTTTCCCATTTTTATTTATCAAAGGCATATATGTATCAGCCAATCAGAGCATCTAACTAAAAGGAGATAATCAGAGACACCATACAGAGGCAGCTAGACCTGTTGCTCTAAGCAGTGTATGAAAATGAAATGTAAAGAATAAGTGTTAAAGTGCTACTGTACTTGTTGGAATAATAAAATTGACTTTGGACCTATTATTACCTTTATGAGTTAGCCTTCAAGGTACTTGGAAGAGACAGAAAAGTAAACAGTTTTATTATGGTGCTGAACGTTGTACCAGAGGCCTGCATCAGGAGACACCCATACAGGGAAGATAGAGCACCTAGGGAGATTTCAAAGTGGAAGGAGATAAGGATACCTCTGTGGTGTCTGGCTGGGTAGATGATAGTGAGGAAGAGAAAAGAGGAGGAGATTTCAGTTGGGACTAGGTACATATTATTCTGTGATTTAGTTGCCTTTGAAGAGTCAGCACTGTCTCTAGGATGTGACAAAGTGTCCTGATTTCTGGGGCACTTAAGCTATGTTTGAAGGCTAAGTGACTTAGCAGTGAAATAAGAGACCATTACAGAGAGCTCTATTAGCTGTATTACACACACACACACACACACACACACACACACACACACGTCCATTTATAACTCTTCATCAAAGTCTTGTATTTGCCAAGTCACAGCATGTTGCTTTTCTACGTCGAGTCTTTGAAAACAGCAATGCTGAAACGTCAAAAGCAGGTTACAAGAAGTGTGAATCTGAAAAATCGAGAGGTGTCTTGTTTCCCATAAGAATGTTGACTCAGCTGATATGGGTGTGGATGAGCATGTCTCACTCTAGACTGAGTGACTATGGAAAGCCATCGTGGGTGAGGTGACATGGGGGAGCTTCCCTAAAAGTGATGTTTCTGTGGAAGTTGTGGGTTTAGCTCTTCCTTTAGGATCTGTACTCATTGGGAAAGACATACTTTTTGCCCCTTTGCTCTAAATCATGATGCCTCAGCCCCCGGACAGTTGTCAATTTGGATAAACCTTTGTTGTGGGAGGCTGTCTTTCATTCCATTACAGGGTGTTTAGTAGCATCTCTGGATGCCAGCAGCACAACCTCCCAGCTGTGACAACTAAAAATGTCTCCAGACATTGCCAAATGTCCACTGGGGGGGGG